GATAGATAGATAGATAGATAGATAGATAGATAGATAGATAGATAGATAGATAGATAGATAGATAGATAGATAGATAGAAGCAAAATATTTCTTGATGAATGGCAGCTTTTCTCCACATGGCTGAACTTTAACAACTAAATGTTTATTTTAAATTCTGAGCATGTTGTCATCTGCGTTTTTTAAGATTTTTACTCGCTTCACATCGCTAAAATTTTCCATTAGTTTGTGCTGTCAGAAAGAAAACAACAGTTTCTGAGGGCTAATAATGAGCAGGTTACAGCCAACCTGCTGCTGCATGAAGCTGAAGCAGCTCCTCTGGTTCTGCTCCACATACACCACAAACATTTTTCCACAGGCTCTCTTTGGCTCCACCCCACTCCACACCAGTACCTTGCTACTTACGACTCCCATCCCTTTCAGCCCGTTTTTTTGAACCTCCTCACATAAACAGGCGAGCTCATGGTTTTCCTCACCTCCTCATGAAGGACAGATCTGATAAAAATTAGATATGGATCGCATAGAGGCAAAGAAATTGGATTTGTGTTGCATTTTCTGCAGTGTTAATGCAGTCTAAAAATATATCCTTTAATGTTCTGCATTTTTGTTTAGTCATTGTCCCTATAACTCTGGCACTATCCAAATCAATTTAAAAAGTGTAAATATGCTAAATAACAAGGCTAATTAGTTTTGTTGCTTGTGTTAATCAGGGCAGTAATGCCCAATTAAATCTGTTTCAATTCACAAACTGCTGTTGTAAATTAATATAATAAACCCAAAGCAATTAATCATCCAACACGTGCAACCAACAGGACTGAGAGGATCAATTATTTACTGTATGTCCTGATGCATCTCAGTAACCCAGGTAGAAAAAAATCAAAAAGAAAAATTAATAGGTCCTCTGGATGGGTTCTTCTTTAATGAAACGTTTCGTCTCTCCTCCAAGAGACTTCTTCAGTCTGATGAGTTTCAGGTGAACTCAGCCTTATAAGCACTGCCTCCACATGGTGGACAAAGAGGTTAGTCATATGCAAAAGAGGGCCATCGCTTAACAATAGGCTTGATTGGCTCTATTGTTCATAGAGGGTTATGTGCCCCATCACCTGACTTATTGGTTTGGATGCTGTGGTTCTTAGGTGTCGTATCATTTGTATGTAGTGAGTGCAGGCGGGGCTCAATGGGCCTTATACAAGAACCGTTCGTACGCACAGATTTGTTCTTAAATTGTGCGTA